CACCACCAACAACACCATCCAACAACACAACAAGAACTCCACCACCACCACCACCACCACCAACAACAACAACACCATCACAAACCAACAACACAGCAACAACAAGAACTCTCACCACCACCACCACCAACAACAACAACAACATCAAACAACACAGCAACAACAAAACTCCACCACCACCACCACCACCAACAACAACAACAACAACACCATCACCACCAACAACAACAGCAACAACAAGACTCACCACCACCCCACCACCAACACAACAACACCATCAACAACAACAACAGCAACAACAGAACTCTCCACCACCACCACCAACACCACCAACAACAACACCATCACAAACAACAACAACAGCAACAACAAGAACTCCACCACCACCAACAACAACAAACCATCAACAACAACAGCAACAACAAGAACTCCACCACCCAACAACACCATCAACAACCAACAACAGCCAACAACAGCAGCACAACAAGAACTCTCCACCACCACCACCACCACCAACACCACCAACAACAACACCATCACCAACAACAACAACAGCAACAACAAGAACTCTCCACCACCACCACCACCAACACCACCAACAACCAACACCATCACAAACAACAACAACAACAACAACAAGAACTCACCACCACCACCACCACCAACAACAACAACACCATCACAAACAACAACAGCAACAACAAGAACTCTCCACCACCACCACCACCACCAACAACAACAACAACACACCATCAACAACAACAACACCAACAACAAGAACTCTCCACCACCACCACCACCACCAACAACAACAACACCATCACCAACAACAACAACAGCAACAACAAGAACTCTCCACCACCACCACCACCACCACCAACAACAACAACACCACAACAACAACAACAGCAACACAGAACTCCACCACCACCACCACCACCAACAACAACAACCATCAACAACAACAACAGCAACAACAACAAGAACTCTCCACCACCACAACACCAACAACAACAACACATCAACAACACAACAGCAACAACAAGAACTCCACCACCACCACCACCACCAACAACAACAACAACACACAACAACAACAACAACAACACAGAACTTCCACCAACACCAACAACAACCACCATCAACAACAACAACAGCAACAACAAGAACTCTCCACCACCACCACCAACAACAACAACACCATCAACCACACAACAACAACAACAACAAGAACTCACCACCACCACCACCACCAACAACAACACCATCAACAACAACAACAGCAACAACAAAACCCTCCACCACCACCACCACCACCAACAACAACAACAACAACACCATCAACAACAACAACAACAGCAACAACAAGAACTCTCCACCACCACCACCCACCACCAACACCAACAACAACAACACATCAACAACAACAACAACAGCAACAACAAGAACTCACCACCACCCACCACCACCACCAACAACAACAAACAACAACATCAACAACAACAACAACCAACAACAAGATCTCCACCACCACCACCACCACCAACAACAACAACAACAACAACCAAACAACAACAACAGCAACAACAAACTCACCACCACCACCACCACCAACAACAACATCAAAACAACAACCAGCAACAACAAGAACTCCACCACCACCACCACCAACAACAACCAACCAACAACAACAACAACAACAACAACAACAGCAACAACAAGACTCTCCACCACCACCACCACCACACAACAACACCATCACAAACAACAACAACAGCAACCAAGAACTCTCCACCACCACCACCACCACCAACAACACCACACACCACCACAACAACAACAACAGCAACAACAAGAACTCTCCACCACCCCACCACCACCAACAACAACAACAACCAAACAACAACAGCAACAACAAGAACTCTCCACCACCACCACCACCACCAACAACAACAACACCATCAACAACAACAGCAACAACGAACTCTCCACCACCACCACCAACCCACCAACAACAACAACAACAGCAACAACAAGAACACCACCACCACCACCACCACCAACAACAACAACAACACCATCAACAACAACAACAGCAACAACAAGAACTCTCCACCACCACCACCACCACCAACAACAACAACCATCACAAACAGCAACACAACAACAAGAACTCCCACCACCACCACCACCAACAACACCATCAACAAGCAACAACAGCAGCAACAACAGACTCTCCACCCCACCACCACCACCACCAACAACAACAACACCATCAACAACAACAACACGCAACAACAAGAACTCACCACCACCACCACCACCAACAACAACACAAACACCAACAACAACACCACAACAACAACAACAGCAACAACAACAAAGAACTCTCCACCACCACCACCACCAACAACAACAACAACAACAACAACAAACAACAGCAACAACGCAAACCAATATCACCACCACCAACAACAACACCACCACCACCACCACCAAC